TCCTAAATTCCGTAGGATGGGAGATTCACTAGAGGATAAATAAGCAAGCATCAACACTTTTTTCGCTGTCCACAAGCACACGGGTCACTTAATAGATCATTAACCAGCGATATGCTGCTGACATGAACACTTTTGGATGCTATTACCGAAAGGGGAGAGCCAACGGCGGCCTGGGTGCTCGCTTTATGACAGGGTCTGGGTATATTACAGCGCATTACACGCCAATGACGCTGCCTTCAGGTCGGAAGAAAACATGTTGCTGAGCTAGATGGGGCTTTAAGACGCAGGAGAGTCACTGTTTAACAGTTAGGTCTACCGGTGTAGAGGTGTAGCTCATGAGACTGGTTTGGTAGTTATATACCTGTAGAATAGTATGTGTACCCTATAGCCTTTCGCTATGGTCTGGTATGCACGGGGCGTTTGAGATAATGTTGTCAGAGTTTCGTTCACGCTCAGTTCCACATGGAGGTGTTTCAGGGGATAATTGGTAAAGAGGAACTAATGCTGTCGCCGGCCCATCGCTTCAGCACGAGATATAACTTCACTCAGGCAGGCAGGGAGCACGAGAAATTCCTGGTGATCTTCTGCTGATATTAGGAAGGTTAGAGACTAATAGTTTACAGAAGAAGATGGATTAATTATATTCTAAATATGAACTTTTATTGGAAATATAATTATGTTATTATAGCCAAGTGTGTAGTACATTTTAATAGCCTTATAGTAACAACATATATTATTATTATTATTATTATTATTATTATTGATAATAATATAAAAAATAATAATAATAATAATAATAATAATAATAATAATAATAATAATAATAACAATAATAATATTTGTTTTGGGGGATTTGAAATCTCGCTTCTGTCAGAAAGTAGAGTACATTTATCACTGCATAAAACGTCAATCAGCTTTAGGTATGCAGACTAACAACTCGAAATACTTTTAAAAATAGGCGTTATAACACTGACAATGTGAGAGCACATTCCTTCCCTTTTCGCTGCTACTCAAGTCTTCAGTTTATTCGATGTTTAGGACAGACAAGGTGAACATGTATTGACTTTTTTATATAAAAAAGTAGCCTAATATGGACTGAATAATAATAATAATCATCTAAACAGATAACTGTGGGAAAAGATTGACATTACAAATGTATTTCTGTGCAGAGTTGAAGAAATGCAGAGTTTAAGTTAATGAAGTATTTAAACAAACAGTTATTGGATGATGTGTGCACTTGGCGCCTTGTCCCCTCCATCCCAGCCTAATCGATAACTCTTGGCGGAGCCTGAGGCATGAGCTCAGGCTTGTATATGAGGTGGAAACGAAATGATAATAGAATCGATTCTTCAAATTGACTCATTTACAAGCAGCTTCCTTTTGCAGGATATGAAGACATCTCTATAACAGATTCAGGCAATTAATCGCAATGAAAACAAAATGCAAAGGACCACAATTCAATTTTATATTCTTAAAGTTCGTATTTAATTGTACTGAGAATATTTAATTTGGTTGTTTAACTTCATTCTAATTTATTTTGCCACAAATAAGAAATAGGCTGCACGCAATAGTATCGAGTAATGTGTTATCTATCAACAAAATCAATACCTAAAAGAAAAACTGGTAGCCTAATCAATTTAAAGATACATTTAGCTTCTAATTGAACGAAAAAACAATATTGCCTCGCGAGGTCTCTGTGCAGCGTCAGTTAGGACCACGGAGCGGCAGTCTTGAGCCTCTTTTCACGGTACTCACCAGTGGTGCTTCCCAATCCTTCCCATGCCTTAACGTGCTGCGCTACACAATGTTCGAGCGAAGAAAGAGCGTTCTGTCTCTCGCTCGAACATGCTGATATTACCATTGGCACGATGTCAGATTGTAGGCTACTTGTACTCTTTGGTCTAACAACGCAACCTTTTCTCAATGTGTCCCTGATTTCCGGGGGGTTGTTCTCAATATTTTGAACTTGGAAGTGGCTATTTTGGGAAAACACACACACATAAATCAAATCAAATTGTATTTGTCACATGCGCCGAATACAACAGGTGTAGACCTTGCTGTGAAATGCTTCCTTACAAGCCCTTAACCAACAATGCAGTTTTAAGAAAGAGTTAAGAAAATATTTACTAAATATACTAAAGTAAAAAATTGAATATATATATATATATATATATATATTGTTTTTTTTTAAGTAACACAATAAAATATCAATAATAAGGCTATATACAGGGGTTACTGGTACCGAGTCAATGTGCGGGGGTACAGGTAGGTCGAGGTAATTTGTACATGTAGGTAGGGGTACAGTGCCTATAGGCCTACAAAGTAGATAATAGACTAACATTATCTGGTATTAATAATTGTGGGTATGATGGGTAAATAATAATTGAGCGTCAGAAAATAATCAAGTTGACCACAACATGACAACAAGTGATTCAGAATAAACTATGTTGACAAAGAACAACATTTGGAGATGCAATTACAAAGGAGGTTTTAAGAAGAACATTTTCAAAATCATGTTTCTCTAGTTGGGGGGTTGGAAATATATAGCCTAGGTTTCGTTGTGAAGACGGAACAGCTCACTGAAAAGTAAAAGTAAAAAGGCCTACATGTCTTCAAAATACAACATAATACCTGATCTTCCATAAGATACCATTGTGATATTGTGACCATTTAAAATATAACCTTACTATAATAGTTGCAATCTATTCTATGCTAATTGAATGCCTGGTCCATGTGAATATGATGATGATTATTGAATATTAACTTTTACTCCAGATTTGAAATTATTTGTTATTTTGAGCAATCACTTACAGGGCTTTACACTCTATGCGTGAGTAAATGTGAAATATGTTTACCAATACCGTAAAACACTTTTCACCAACAACATCACAAAGTTAGGCTACTTACTGGATCTGTATGTACAGTGCCTTCGGAAAGTATTCAGACCCTTTCCTTTTTCCACATTGACTAAATAAAAAATAAATGTATTAATAAAAAACAGAAATACCTTATTTACATAAGTATTCAGACCATTTGCTATGAGACTCGAAATTGAGCTCAGGTGCATCCTATTTCCATTGATAATCCTTGAGATGTTACTACAACTTGATTAGAGTCCACCTGTGGTAAATTCAATTGATTGGACATGATTTGGAAAGGCACATGACAGCCTGCTTGGAGTTTGCCAAAAGGCACCTAAAGACTCTCAGACCATGAGAAACAAGATTCTCTGGTCTGATGAAACCAAGATTGAACTCAAGATTGAACTATTTGGCCTGAATGCCAAGTGTCACTTCTAGAGGAAACCTGGCACCATCCCTATAGTGAAGCATGGTGGTGGCAGCATCATGCTGTGGGGATGTTTTTCAGTGGCAGGGAGTGGGAGACTAGTCAGGATTGAGGGAAAGATGAACGGAGCAAAGTACAGAGAGATCATTGATGAAAACCTGCTCCAGAGCACTCAAGACCTCAGACTGGGGCGGAAGGTTCACCATCCAACAGGACAACGACCCTAAGCACACAGCCAAGACAACACAGGAGTGGCTTCGGGACAAGTCTCTGAATGTCCTTCAGTGGTCCAGCCAGAGCCCGGACTTGAACCTGATTGAACATCTCTGGAGAGACCTGAAAATAGCTGTGCAGTGACCCCCATCCAACCCGACAGAGTTTTAGAGGATCTATAGAGAAGAATGGGAGAAACTCCCCAAATACAGGTGTGCCAAGCTTGTAGGGTCATACCCAAGAATACTCGAGGCTGTAATCGCTGCCAAAGGTGCTTCAACAAAGTACTGTGTAAATGGACTGAATACTTATGTAAATGTGATATTTCGGTTTTGTATTTTTTATAAATTACCAAACATTTCAAAAATCCTGTTTTTGCTTGGTCATTATGGGGTATTGTGTGTAAATTTATGAGGAAAAAACAACAACAATTTAATACATTTTAGAATAAGGCTGTAACCTAACAAAATGTGGAAAAAGTCAAGGGGTCTGAATACTGTTTGAATGCACTGCATGTGGATAACTTTGTTCTCTCTGTTCACTCCGTGTAAACTGGGAGATAATTGCCATAGAAGAAGGGGAATTATGCATAAAACGCGGCCTGTTAAACGATAACATGCCACTGGTTCCCCTAAGTGAAAGCATTCGGCTCTTCTCTCTCTAGCCTTTCTCACTCCCCTCTCCTCCCTCCTTCGTTTGGGGGAGTCAGTCAGCTGACTTGACTGTCTGTAGCTGTCAGAGAGAGCGCTCCCCCTCCTCTCCTCACTCTCCTCCCACCTCTCCCCATCTTCTCTGTTATTCTAATCCGTAGAATAAACCGCTCCTATTGGAGACGGACAAGGGGACCTACCTTCAAGCCTGACGTCACGGCGCGCTATAAGAATAAAGTGCTGGCAGTCAGCGCAGTCTGCTGAATACTCGAAAGTGAGCGTCTCAGGAAGGAGAGGAGAGCTCAAATCTCTGCGGTGCAGAGCTGGAAGGCTACTTCTCCAATCAAAAACCAGACGCACAAGTATTTTATTATTATTATTTTCTTGGCGAAAAACAAGGACTATACATTAGGCCTATATCTAGAAAGTTGACAAGGACAGGAGCCTGGTTCAACGACAACTCGGTATTATTTTCTTATTTTGTATTTTTGTAATTTTTTTAAAAGTTAGTTTCTGCTGAAAGGACTGACGGTTTAATCTTTGCACTGAGACGAAATTATTTCTACCACCACTCCACGTCTGTTGACCAGATCAGAGCCAGTTAGCAGAAGTAGGCTACATGACGTAAATTCCCATGTCGTTTGCAGTGCCCTAGTCTGAAAGTTTTTTTCCACTTCTTTTTCGTTTTCTACTTTTGTACCTCTCTGAACACGAGTCTGCTGCATTGGAGGAATAGGAAAAACTACTGCATGAGACGAGCGGGGAGAACAGACGCTTATTTTTAAGAAGTCTGTTTTTGCGACGCTGGGAAACACCTTCGCCAATCTTCAGCAGAGTCGTGGCAGCACCATGAGCGCAGAGCTGAGCATGGGCCCGGAGCTCCCCAACAGCCCTCTGGCTCTGGAATACGTCAACGACTTTGACCTAATGAAGTTTGACGTGAAGAAGGAAGGTCTGGCCGGGCTGGAACGCGCCGGGGTGCGCCAGTGTATTCGGCTCCAGCCCCAGGGCTCTGTGTCCTCCACCCCCATCAGCACACCATGCAGCTCGGTGCCCTCCTCACCCAGCTTCAGCCCCACAGAGCAGAAGAACCATCTGGAGGAGCTCTACTGGATGCCCAACGGCGGGTACCACCAGCAGATCGACCCACAGACGTTAAGCCTGACCCCGGAGGATGCAGTGGAGGCCCTGATTGGAGCCACAGCCCATGGCCAACACCCGTCCCCGCATGTCCAGCAGCAGCTGCAGCAGGGCGGCTTCGATGGCTACAGAGGGCCTCACCACCACCACAACCACCATGGCCATCCTCAACAGCACCACCATCCCTATGGGGGAGGCATTCCGCACCACCCAGATGAACTGCCTGGACACCCGGGGGGCCACAGCCACCCACACACCCAGCACCACCACCACAGCCAGGACCCAGACAGCCCGTCCCCCGTCTCCCACCAAGCCCTCCACCACCACCGCCTCCAACACCACCACCAACACGACCACCAGGGCCAGGGGCACCAAGGCTTAGGCAACGTGGAGGACCGATTCTCTGATGATCAACTGGTGTCCATGTCTGTGAGGGAGCTGAACAGGCACCTGCGGGGGTTCACCAAGGACGAGGTCATCCATCTCAAGCAGAAGAGGCGGACCCTAAAAAACAGGGGCTACGCACAGTCCTGCCGCTTCAAGCGGGTGCAGCAGAAGCATGTGCTGGAGAACGAGAAGACTCATCTGATTAACCAGGTGGAGGCGCTCAAGGCGGAGATCAATCGGCTGGCGCGCGAGAGGGACGCCTACAAACTCAAGTGCGAGAAACTGACGGGAACGGGAGCGAATAACGGGATCCGCAAGGCAGGGTCAGCAAGTGACAACCCGTCATCTCCAGAGTTTTTAATGTGAGTTGTTATTATGGCTCTATTGACTCTCCCCTACCCCACCACCAACTGATGCTGATGAACAAACAATAATAATCAAATACGCCTTCATGTTGACTATACTAATGACAGCAACTATATTCATATTAGAATAATAATCCATGAAATAGTAATATTCTCATATGTAACCATCTCTCTCCACCCACGTGACAACTGAGATACAAAGAACAAGGTAGAATGTTTGGTCAACGTCGCATCTTTGTAGATTAGTTGCTTGTAGTGAGGATACTTTTTTCCATCTTCCTGAGAGAAGAGAGAAACGGCGGGTGAACTTTCCTCGTTTCAGGCTACTGCTTTTACGGTGGCTGTTAGTGGGATGACCGACCGGCGTATAGGGCCTGAAAAAAGAAAATAGAATTTATAAACAAGACTCCACATTATGCAATCTTGAATTATGTCTACTTATCCCGCAAAGGGGGGTGGGGGGGCATTTTATGCAACATCTCATTGGTTGCCTGCTTAGTTATATTCGCATATATATTGAAACAAAAATCTCCATTAAATATTAATCCTGCATGCTGGACATGTACGGACGGTAATAATTTCTATTTTGTACTATCTTTTTGTTTCTCGTAACCTATCTTAATAAGAGCATGTCGTTGATCTGCGCTTCTCCATAGCGTTGTTGGGTTTAGAGGAATGGAATGGTGACAGTACAGCAGGGCTGCCTGTGCAGTATCGTAATGTCTGGTGTTCTGTAGCCTTGTAAATATTACGCAACGCAAAACTGCACACCAAGATTGAAGAGGCTGGTTTTAACTTCTTTCTTTCTTGGAGTTTTTTTCTTCTTCATATTTTAGAGTTTCTTTTGGTTGGTATTGATTCAGCGATATGGCCATTTTGCTGTTGCATTTAAACAAAACAAACTGTATATTAAGTGCACTTTTTGGATAATGGTTTGTATTAAGTTTTCATTTTGAGTTTTGTGCAGACGACCGTAAAGGAAGACATACTATGATTATGGATTATTCTATTATAATAATAATGACAAGATAGATGCAAGCTTAATAATGACCATATGACACAATGTGGTGTATTGTGCGAAACTGTAAAAACAAACGCCTCGCTAGAACATCAGCAGATGAGTGAGTCCTTTGCGCACCACATTTACGCACCATGCATAATTTATTGTTCTTCTCTCCTCGGAGAAAATACTTTCACATGTTATTCCATTTCATTTCAATGTGGTGCTGTAGTCAGAATAGTTTTTCTTAAACAGGAATTACCTTCTGTTAACTATTGCCTAACCCTAATGTGAATGTAATGTGAAGAACACATGTAGCAGGTCAGTCATATAATTTCAACTTGATTAACTTTGTTTTTTTGGGTGCAGCTGAATCGCATTAACAGCGATATAGGCCTACTATAGGCCTATTTTGTACTTTTCCTCGGCAATATCAAGCATTTTTAATAAAGTGTCTCAAATATGCTCAATAATGTTAACCATGTCAGGGGTTTTATGTGAATTAAAAAGTATTTAGATTGCGCATGCGTTTCGAAATAGGACGTTGAAATATATTAATGCTATATGTTTTCTCCCCAAAAATTCTGCCGGTCAGTAAAAAAAGGGATTCAGGTTGTGCAAAATCTCAAAATGAAAACTGTTGTGTATGTTATATGATATTATGTTTTCCTATATTTTATTATTATTTGGTGTTTCTGGTTCTGCTGGCCAGATGCATAGTTTAAGTTTTTATTTTAATGATTTAAATTAACAAACTGTCAGATCATAATGAATACGCATGGTGCTTGCATTTAAAAACTATTGTTGAAAAGTCATGCATTTAACAATCTCTTGGTTTGTTACTGATTCAACTGTGTTGAAATCAAATTGAAACTGCAGCAGCGGGTTGTTGTTTTTAATTTCATGTATTTTGCGATGATGATGGTTATACATTTGAAATCCGGTCTATATAAATAAGATTACATCAATTATCTTAAATTTGAACTGTTGTAGTTCCATTCAGGCTGGTTTCTGTTTTGTCTCATTTTTTATTTTTTTTTGTTGTTGGAAGAAATGGTTTCCTATTTTGCTTATTAAAGTCATTGAAATGGCATTTACCTTTCTCAGACTGTTTATTCTACTCAACCACTCCCCTCTTTCTCTATCTCTCTGAATTACATCAACACCAAACTAACTGCAGGTTTGTTTAGGTAACATGGTGTAACGTGAGGGCATGCCTCATCTCCTTTGCATTAGGCTACAGGCAGAATCAGATCTTATACACCAACATAGAGCTACACATTTAAGTTCGGGAAAGTATGTTATTAGGAAGACCTACAGTTTTCATGGAAAATCTTTCCATCAGTAAAACATAGCCCAATTCCTGTCACAGTGTTTTTAGCAGACTGAGTCAACATTAGAATGGGCCTATACGGAACATGAATATGAATACTTTGTATAAGGTTCTATCTGACATTTTTGTCAAAAATGAGTTAGTCACATATACTTGATCTTTAGATGGTTCTTCATATGTCTGTGAAGTTAGATTTATGAAAAAGTACATTTTAAGTGAAAAAAATGAAAAAAACGAGAAAGTTCTATCTGCATAAACACATTTGAACTTGGCCAATAAGGTTATATCTGTAATCCAATCACAATCCTGAACAAATACAAACGGACCAATCAGAACACCTCATTGCCAACTCCCTCTAAGTATAGTCTAGGCTAGTCTAGCCAGCAATAATTGCATGCAAGTAAAACAACAACTGTCAGAAATATTATAGTAAATGATGCTGTCACATCGTTGTTTGTTGTACAATTCTTAATGTATGTGATGATGTGTTCTGACTCTATCTTGGTAAAATAGTGTTATTCTATCAAGTATGTATTCAAATAGCTACAGCATTCATAAAAACTGAAAATGTCTAATTCAGATAGAACCTTATAGCTGAACCAGTGATTGACATTTCAGAGCCATAAGGTTCTGTCTGTGATTGAACCCCTTATTTCCTAACCCCTTTACAAATGTCTCAGATTTTGATACTCTGCACTTTATGTACATTTAAGGTGAGAACCTTAATGGGTTAGGAAATAAGAATTCACTACAAAACAGTTCTGAGATCTGGGATGTGACAACTTTGACGCTCAATATCTCAGAACTATGCTTTGCACAGATGGTTAATGTGGGATAGGTGATGGCATTTTTATCGAGATAGTTGATTTGAGGCCTAACATTGTGTTTATGAACATGTAGACTAAAGGTGTATGTCTATGCCTTATGTTCACCCTCTTGGAAACACAGACCAGTCTCATTTCTTAGTGAAGTAGCCTGGCCCTATTGGCTATTATTACTGACACAAGGTGCACATGTTACAGAGGCAAAATGAGTGTAGTAGGCCCAGTATGGCCATAGACTACTTTACCAGTATGTGCTTGCATTTAGCTGTCACTGGCGGAAGGCCTTTCGCTCATTCTATGGTAGCCTCCTGATTAAACACAAGTTACATGGTGGATAGCCTGGAATTAGACCAAATACTGCGCACAACAGAATCCAAACTGGACTTGGTTCGGGTGCTGGCCCATGCTGCTGACTTTTGCAGAAATCCCGCCATTGCAAGTGCCAATGATAAAATAAGATATTTGACCTTGCAACACTGTGCGAGCGGCAGGGTAAGGAGATTAGGGCTCATTTCAATTTGTGTCACTGAAGTGGTAAAGATTGCATGATCGAATTTTAACGTTTTTTTCAGATTGAGCCAACAGATGCAGTGTTTGAATGCAGTCTCAGCCAAAACGGGAACATTACCTTTAAACCTAAATCACGCTGTAACGTTGAATTTCCGCGATATGGATTGAATAGAGCCCTTAACCCTTAAAATGGCGATTTAGTGGGAAATATCATTCTGCTATTAATCCTACACTAGGCCTTCACGAGTTGTCTTTGTGTTTCATTTGTAGGCCTACTTCTTCCAGGCCTACAAAAATAGCGAAACAGGTGCTGCGTAATGATGGCAGAGAAATGTGAATTCCGAATAGGCCTTGTTCTTTCCTGTGTCACATGGCCGAAGACTGCATTAACGTAAAGTGTGTATTGTGTGTGTGAAGATATTTACATTTTGCAATTCACACTTTAACTCTTCGGAGTCTGGAGCTTTTTTGGCCGTTTTTGGGTACCTTCAATTTTGCCCTGATATACTACATAAAGAAATGTTTACCAGACCAATGTTGGGTATCTTTTTTTTCAGCACAACCTCACCTATATGATCTGTTAGTAAGTTTTTCACTTTGACATACTATTTCAACACACTGGACCCAAACACACACAGAAAACACAAAGTCCGTTTAGAAAAAAGATGGTTTTTTTATTGTAAAACCCTCAAACATGGTGAACCAAGCATTTAAAAAGCTTCAAATTGAACCACAAGGTGCAAATATGAACATATAAAAGTATTTTGGTGATATATACAAGCAATAAATAACTATTTACAATAAAAAGTAGGTATAACCACTGGCGTTTTTCTTCTATTCTAACCCTAAACCTTTTTGTGCCACTCCTCAAAACAGTTTCTGTCCAAAATGAAAAAAAAAGCTTCAAATTGAACCACAAAGTGCAAATATGAACATATAAAAGTATTCTTGAGATATATACAAGCAATACACAACTATTTACAAAAAAAGTAGGTATAGCCACTGGCCTTTACCCTATTTGTGCCACTCTTCAAAACAGTTCCTGTCCACAATGACACAGAGAGCCACATCACAGGCCTTGCACTTCCATGGTGTGACAAACCTCTTCTTGTCAACTTGTTTACAGCGTTGACAAACCCTGCGGCCTGCTGTGGCTTTGTCTTTGGCCTCTGCAACATTGGCAATGGCCACAGGAACATGGCTGGTGCTTTTTTGAAGTGGAACCCCTGTCTGGGTCACTCCGCACAGCTGGGCCACAAGTTCTGCCACAAAGTTCTTGTGCGTCATGGGTGTGACCTGTTGGGTCGCACTGATGTCACAGTGCAGGATGTATG